ACAGGCAGCCATGGGTAAGTTGTCAGTCATTATAAACTAGTTTGACTTTGGCAGAATTTTTCTTAAGTGAGTATACATTATACATATATAATATGCATATAAAGCACATGCTTATATAGACTGGTATCTCAACATAGTCTGTAATTTATGCGTATTACTGGTTCCCTTTTGTTCTGGTTCAAGGTCTCACTATGGCATCGTTGCTTGCTGGATCTCGTTATATAAACCAGGCTGGTCTAGAACCCACAGGAATCAGCCTGCCTCTGCCAGCTTCTTCCTCCCAAGCACTGGCATTAAAAGCCTGCTCTATCAAACCTAGCTTTGTTCATTGCCTGTTTACTCCAGGGTGTTATTTCATTATATAGGCACACAACTGTCTCTCCAGCTACACGGTGACAGAGACTGGAATTGTCTCCATCTTTGTAGGAATTACAAAATGAACAATTTGGATAGTTTTGATTGTTCATGTTCATGTCTTTATGTGAATCGGTGCTTTATTTCGTTTGTGTAAGGACTTAGCAAGGAATTAAATAAAGTGCTTGGCTACATGACAGATATATGTTAGACTTGGTGACAGACTTTTCCTAAATACATTACTATCAACAGTGCATATTTCAGCTGTGGAATTTCCTCTTGAAGTCTTTTTCCTATTAGGGACAGTGATTAGGGTTTAATTGTCACTTCCCTAGTGCAGCTGTCTTCTCTGATTTGATATCCATGTGTGGTCTTCTTGGGCGCACTGTTGTTCAGATGTCTCACCTCAGTTTTTATTGACCATTTTTCATATTTGTTGTGTAGAATTTTTATGTACTATGAATACATATTTTATTGGGTTAGTATTTTTCATATTTGTGCCATAGAATGTCTATGTATTATGAACAACAAGTTCTTTGTTATGATTTGTTTGTGACTTGTCTTATTGTTCTCTCTTTAAAGTCTTTGAAATTGAAAATAGGTTTTAATATTGGTGTAGTCCACTTATTCCTTTATTTTATGGATAGTGCTTTGGGTGTCATATTTAAGAATTCATAGGCCTCCGAGCAGTGGTGCACTTCTCTAATCCCAGAACTTGGAAGGTAGAGGCAGGTGGATCTCAGTGAGTTCGATGCTAGCCTGGTCTGCAAGTGAGTTCCAGGATATCCAGGACTAGTACACAGAGAATCCCTGTCTTGAAAAAACATTAAAAAAAAAAAGAATTCATAGACCAAAATCTTAAGTGACTTTCTTCTAAAAGTTTGATAGTTTTAGGTTTAGTGATTTAGAACTATAATGTTTAGATTAGTTGGAGTTTTAAAAAAAGATTTATTTTAAATCATTTATTTATTATTTATTTTATGTGTATATATGTGAGAGTCTCTGTATGGATATGTGTGCATGCATGCAGGTGCCCTTAGAGCCCAAAAGAAGGTGTAGAATCCCCTGGAGCCGGAGTTGTAGGCTGTAGAGAGTTGTCCAATGTGTGTGCTGGGAACCAAACCCAGGTCCTCTGTAAGAGCACTAAGAACTCTTGACCACCGAGCCATCTCTAAAACCTCTCAAATTCGTTCTTATGGGGAGTGTGTAGAAAACATTAGCGTGTTTTGTTTGTGTGTGTGTGTGTGTAATTGTGATGGTGATTTTTTTTTTTACTATGGATAGCCAAATTTTTGTTCAAATGCTTCTGCAACTTTTTTTGGACAAATAATTGATTCTCTGTGTGGGTCTATTACTGTTCTGTCTCACTGATTGTTTGCATATATGTGTGCCAAAGTAACACTGCATTGATAATCGGAGCTTTAATAACTATGGCCTCAAATAAGGTAGTGTTTTAACTTTGTTCTTAGTTTCCAAAGCAGTTTTGGTCCTTTATATTTCCTTATGACTTTAGGATCAGCTGTCTCCATTGGGGGTAGAGATAGAAAGAAAGAAGAAAGAGAAACAAAGAAGAAAGGGAGGCAGGAAGAGAGTGGGGAGAGGGAAGGGAGGGATCTGGTGTCATTTACTTTGGCAAAGTCTACTGACTTGTAAATTAGCATTTTCCTAAATGGCTGGGAAGAACTGAGACAGTGACAATATTGCCTCCCCAACAAGTGACCACGAGCCGGTGTCTGCATTTACCTGAGTCTTTAATTTCACGGCACGATGTTGCATAGATTTCCGAATGGTGATCCGAAACACTTCTTGCCTCGTGTATCCCTAGATAGGTGTTGTTTTTGTGATGCAATGGTTGTTATTGCTGTTTGAATTTCCAGTGATTTGTTATTAGTATGTTGATTCTGCATATGGTCTTATTTTCTACAATGTCATTAAACTTATTTCTAATCACTCCTTAAGTAGACTCCACAATATTTTAAAATCTGGGCTATCATTTCTTGTCCTTAAATACAGTTTTTCTTTTTTTCCTCGATTTCAGTGTTTTGTTTGTTTATATTTCCTCCCATTTTGTTAAGTAGGTTCTTTGGCAAAAGATTGAAAAAATGTGATAAAAGCAAACAACCTTGTTTTATTCTTTTTTATTTTGTCTCTTACGCCCTTTATCCCATATACAGGTATCCTTTTATCCTGTCACCTGCTTTCAAGATTTTTCTTTATATTTGTGTTCTACTTGGATTATGAGGCTTGGGATGATGTTATCTTTCTTGTGCTTGGGGTTTGTTTTGTTTCTTAGATCTGTGAGTGGAGTTTTCATCACATTTGAAGAAGTATTTAAGCATTATTATTCTAAAAAATGCCCCTTTTCCCCATTTGTGTATGTGTTTGACTACTTAATATTTTTCTGTAATTCCCTGATGCTCTGTTCATTTTTAAGTGTTTTTCTCCTTTTCACTTTGTTTTTGTTTTTAATTATGAAGTTGTTAGCCGTTTGCTATGACTTCTAATCAGCTTGCTCTGACTTAATCATTGACCCATAGTCACCAATATATATTTTTTTTCTGGTTTTTCGAGACAAGGTTTCTCTGTGGCTTTGGAGGCTGTCCTGGAACTCGCTCTGTAGACCAGGCTAGCCTCGAACTCACAGAGATCTGCCTGCCTCTGCCTCCCAAGTGCTGGGGTTAAAGGCGTGTGCCACCAACTTCTCCTTTTCATTTTGAATAGCTTCTGTTGCTGTATATTTAATTTTACTTAATCTTGTCTCTTAAAATTCTAATCTCTTGTTAAAAATATCCATGTATATTTTACTTTCAGAAAATATACTCATCATCTCTTAAAGTTAACCTTGGAGGTAGGTGTGTGTGTGTTCGTGTTCCACATCTTAACATAGTCCATCTTTTCTCTTACTTCCTTGTATGCAGAGTATACAACTTTAATCATTTTAATTAATTTCTCAATTTTAGTTGGCTGATGTTTGGTAGTTTTTGATTGGATGGTAGGCAGTGTGAATTTTACTCTGTTTGGGCTGGATTTGTCTTAAAGTCCTGTAATTGCTTGAAGTAGGTTCCTGGGTGCTGTATCCTTTCAATTGTCTTTTCTAAGTTTTATGAGCCAGCACCAAAGCTGTGTTTGATCTAGGGCTGTTTCCTGGTCCTTTACTTAAGCAAGACCCTCCTGTGTACTATTCCAGTGCTCCTGAGTCATGAGGCTTTCCTCGCTGATGGCTGAGAAAAGGCACCATTTTTGCCCATCCATGATCTCCAATTATTTTTTCCCTCTAATACTTCTGAGTGATGTTTTTGTCCCAGCGTCAGAAATTCCACAGAGATGCTGATGAGAATTCTGCTGCACACAGGGAAACCCTGTGCAGGTCTTGAGTTGGTCTCTCCATGTCTTTCTCTCCTCCTAACTGTCCAGAGTGAATACTGAAAACCTTGTCTGGGACCTAAGTCAATAGTCTTCCTTTTCTTCATTCCCTTTCTTCAGGGTCACGACCCTTTAGGAACTATGCCCAATGTTTTCAGGGCCATACTATTTTTATATAATTTGTCTGCTTGTTCAGTTGTCTTATAAGACTAGAAGAGTGAACTTGGCCTCCGTTATTCCATTCAATCCACGTGGCCACAAATGGCTATCTGTAGCATTGGAGAGGGAAGAGTTAGATTATCATGGAGACTCTCTAAAGACGTGAAACAAAGTCTTACAGATGTGGCTGTGCATTATAAGATGTTTGGTAGCATCTGCAGCCTCTGCTATTGGGTCTCCGTTATACTAATCTCCATTTTGGCAATTAAGCATGTCTCTGGATACCATCAAAGGTTTCCTGGTGGACAAAATTATTCCTTGCTGGGAACTGCCAGCCATCCTAAGTGAATTTGTGTATGAGGAATATGTGACGCTGTAACTTCTAGGCATCATGACTCATTGACATTTTGTCTACTGGTCTTCTCTGCTTAAAACCGTAAAAGGACCATGAGTTTTTAAAATATTTCAGCCTGAAAAATTCTTTGCCTTCCTCCTTTTGCTTCTTGCTTCATATATTATAGAAGAAGGAGGAATAATAAAGCAAATGTTGTAAAATATTAACAATTTGGGGGACCGGTGAAAGATATATGAGATATTTGTACTACTCTTCAATATTCTTTAAGACTGAAATTACTTTTTTAAAAACACTTCATGAGAGTGAAGAAAGCCAGAAGAAAAGATTTGTCTCCCTTTAGGAAAAGGCTGCACTCTCAAACCAGATTAGGAAACCAGAGGCCAGCAAGCCTGACATGGAAGTTTGCGCTTGAGACTTTGAATCAAGTCACATGTTCAGAACACTTGGATTTCACCTTGATTTTGCTTATCAGCTATCAGAAGAATAACACTCACTTAATTTATCCCTGCTTTGACTCTCTTGACAATAAAGGAAAGACTGAAGTTGCAAGGATCAAAAGAAAGTATTGTGTGATGAATTATTCAGGGAATTGCAGTGGCAGTCATTTATGGTCCAAGTCGGGAAGCATCGCAGTACCTACTGTGAGTCATACCTACCTACTATGAGTCATGCCTTGTGCTACTGTCTTTACAAATATTATTTCATCTAAATTGCAGTCTTTGATATTTAAATGCATTACAGTATTTAACATGACTAACCTGGGGCCAGTGAATAGTTTTTATTTGAACATCACATGGGAAAGTGGCAAATCTGTGTTCCGAACTCAGCTGTTTGAAATCCAAGACAGGTCATTTTCCTCCCAGACAGGTTCTGAGCTACAATGGTCCTTTCCTCAGTCACATAAGCTGGAGTGAGTCTGGTTGTAGGCATTTTCAAGCAGACTTGTTTCAAAGTTGCGCTGGATTCTTTGTCATGGCTAAAAGAGAAGAGAAGGAGGATTGAAACTCTGGCTTTGCTTTTTCATGCATATTGACCTAACAGGGAAAGGATACGTACTAAAACATATTCTTGATATTTCTAAGACATTTTCATTACGTTTATTCATTATTCACTATGTGATACTATTTCCCATAAGGACATTTTCATATAATACTGTGACAGTTTTAAACAAACACCATAGAGGAGTTTTCTTCCTTGCTTGCTTCCTTTATTCATTCCTACTAAAACCTCCCAAACCTAAGTCACAAAACTCTTAGGTTTCTAATATGGATGCTTTTAAGATTTTGGTTATTTTGTAGCCGGGCGAAGGTGGCGCACGCCTTTAATCCCAGCACTCGGGAAGCAGAGGCAGGTGGATCTCTGTGAGTTCGAGGCCAGGCTGGACCGACAGCCTCCAAAACAATACAGAGAAACCCTGTCTGGTAAAACCAAAAAAAAAAAAAAAAAAGATTTTGGTTATTTTGTATCTGCATCAATTAGATGTTGGCAAGACAACAACCAAAGCTTCGAGAGTCCACTTGAACTCTTACTGAAGGGCAAGAGGAAGTGGTTTTGTGTTCATGATCTTCAACAGTAAAAACACAAATCTGTATGATAAACAAACAGAAAAATTGCCCAAACAGGAGCACTCATTCCACAGGAGGTGATATTTATATGGCCAGTTAGCATGGCAGGAGGTACTCAAAATGGCTTGTGACCAAGAAAATGCAAATCAAGTCACAGTCACAAACTCACAAACATTTAAAAATACCAGTCATTGTAAAGGGTATAGATCTCTAAGACAGCAGTGCTCCAGATTGCAGGTGTCTTTGGAAAACAGTTAATCCTTATTTTCTAGCAAACATTGTATACCTCAGTTATTCCATATATATTTATATATGCAATATATATTATATATCTCAGCAAATCCATATACATATGTATACACATACATACATATATATTGTTGTCTGTAAGAATAAATTTTGAGCCACTTAGGTAACTTAAAATTTTTCTAGAGGATATTTATGAAACAGATGAAACAGATTTCAGTAATGTATTTTATTTAACTATTTTATCAACATGACATTATTGAGATATTTTACATTTTGTCATGTTTTATAAACCTATTGTTTAGTTTCCATTTTTGTATCTCAAGTTGACCACATTTTTTTCTTGTTAGATCTGCATTTGGATTTCATATAATTTACAGTTGGAAAATGTATAATCATACACCCAGCCAACTGCAAAAATACTGATCTGTTGTCATCCTTTTCACTAGGCTGTGGGATTCCAGTGTTTACCATAGACGAGTTAAAACTTATTAATTGATAATTGGAATTAAACTTTAACTGGAGAGATGCAGAAGGGGGCATTAGCTGCGACTTTAAAAACAAGTGAGTAGGGCATTGAATGTCTATAAGAGAAGCAGAGAAGAGGCTTTGAGTGACAAAGGACACATAAGTCGAGGCTGTTGTCCATTTGAGTTTCAGTACAAGCCAAGGCTGTTTGAATCACATCTCTAAAAGAATGAACAGGAAGCTTGGAGAGTTACTTGCTTCCCAGAATGCTCATCCTGTGGGTTTGTGGCAGCTAAATGCACTCAACCCTTATTTACCTGAATATATCTACATTAAAACTATCCTGTCGATCTCTGAGCCATTCTCTCCTTTCCTGGGTCAAATTCTAGCCAGATCTCTGCTCGTTGATATGATGGGGGAGAGAGGGAATGGAGAGGAAGCTGTATCTCATTTAGTTGCTTAGTTCTTAGGTTTCTCATAAGCAAAAAGATCAATATTAATTTATTAGAAACAAAGTTAAATTACTTTTAGCCAAAGGCTATTTTAAAACATGGGCAAGGAGTAGGATAATTTGATTTAAAAATAAGTCATAAAAATAGTCAGCGCAAAATTAGAGTACATTTCTGAGTGCAAAAATAAGTAACGTTTAGAAATAGTTTCATGAATAGAGCAGTGTGACAGATAATATTGTCATAATCACTCGCCAGGGTCTAAAGTGTCCTTTCTCTCCTAGACTGGAGGAGAGATGTAATGGTTTTAAAAAGTTGTGACGTTCATATAGATTATATTTATCCACAGTGTCCTTGACCAGTCTTCCATTTGTGTGCCAAATACCTGAGAAATGCAAACTTAAAAGGAAGAGGTCTCATGTATCCCAGAGGTTTTAGTCACAGTCACCTGTCTCCATGAGGTAAAACACAGCATCATTGTGGTGATGAACATACCCAATGACAAAGTCTGTCAACTCATGGTGGCTAAGAAGAGACAGGACTTGTGCATGGCAAGATTTAACTTTTGTGTGACCCCCCCCAATGACCAACTAGGTCCACCATTTAATGCAATCACCTGCCAACAATGCCATAGAATTATGGATCTATCTGTGGATGAATTCAGTGACCAAGTTAAAGCTCTCATGGGCCAGTCACGTTTTGCATGCTTCAACACATGAGCCTCCGGGGACCCATGCTCTTCACATTGAATCAAAGCACTCCACCTCTGGTCCCCAGAGGCTTAAAGCCATCCCATAATCCAAGATGCACCCAGTCACATGCTGGGAAGACCCTTATTCTTAACAGTTTCAACACTGGTCAAATGTTCAGCCCAAAGTTTCCTCTGAGACTCAATGTAACCATTACCGGTGAGCCCCTGTGAACAGAACTTTAAAAATTCCATTCTTGCAATATACAATGACCCAGGAGACATTCCTAGTTAAGAAACGAGATATTTGGAGGCTAGAGATAAGTGAAACCGAAGTAAAACCAAAGCCTGGCAGGGCAAATATCAAGCCTGTGGCTTGTTCTGGGTAGAAGGCTGTAAGGTTCAAAGCCTATCCCTGCCGCGTGTGCCACTCACTGCCACAGCTCATCCTGGAGACTCTTGTTTTCTAGAGACATTCATTGTCTCCTTGGGGCGTCCCTTGTGTCTTTGGATTTACTACCATAGCCTCATGCATTTCGCTCTCTGAAGCTGCCCACAGGGAGTCCAATCCTGCTACACACTCCCTGCACTCCAGAAGGCTCCATGAGTCTACGGTTTTTCGTTTTACTTGCCTGCCAAACCAATAAGCCATGGTGAGACCAGAGTTGCCCTCCTACTCCAGAACTGTGATGACTGTGGCCTTTGAATCTTGGTAAACTATTCACTACATAGACTGGTGCAAATAGGATGTCCTGCAATTATTCCCTTCTCAAGGGAAAGTCTGTAGGATGAATTTACGTTTTGTACCAGTGACCATGCTTTTTCATGAAGTGTCTTCAAGGCTTCTTTCTTATTGCCCAGGACAAAGTATTTAGTTTCTTCTTAATGGCTAATCTCTAACAACTACAATTTCTTTTGTCCCAACACGGAACACACACCTTTTCTGGGCAATGTACAAGTATTTCAAATCCATCCACTCTGTCCTTGTTCCCAGTTTTCACTGTGGCCCTTCCTAGTAAAACATAGCCTTACAACAGCATCGATGCTAAGTAGCTACAAAAGGTGCCTCCTCTTGGATTAGTTAGTCCACCGCCTCCCATAGAGTCTCAAGGCACAGACAAGATGCAGACAAACTCTTTGCCAGAAGATAACCTGGAAGCCTCTAACCCATTTCCATCTTAGTCCTCATGCTGTGACCTTAAGAACTCAGCACTGACTGAAGTTTTCTCAGCTCTCTGAGACAACTTTCTGATTGCCCATCAAACTCTTCGTAGAGCATTCTAGAACCTCTCCAGCCTTTACCTCCATGTGTTTTCAAGTTCTTTCCAAAAACCAATACCCAGTTTTTCCAACACAAATAGTCAAATAAAGTTGTTAGCAACAACACCATTTCCTGGTGCCAGTTTTCTCTATCAAATACCAGACACAAGAACATCAGATTTCCCTGGCTTTACATTGTTCATCACCCCCACTGAATGGTTGAGGAATAGATTTATTACACAACCTACGGGAATATCAAATGAACATTAGGTCTTGAAAGATTAGTGTACTGGTCAGAATTTACTAAAAGAGTTCTCTCTCTCTCTCTGTCTCTCTCTCTCTCTCTCTCTCTCCCCATCCCTGTGTGTGTGTGTGTGTGTGTATGTGTGTGTGTGTGTGTGTGTGTGTGTGTGTGTGTGAATGATTGTCTCTGGGAACACCTTCACCAACATTCCCAGAAGTGTGAAATTGACAGTGATGATTATCGGTCATAACCTCCCAGAGTCCATAAATCATAAACACAATAAAATGTACATGAACTAGATTCTGAGAAAGTTTCTACTATTTTTACCAGCCTCCATGGAAAGAGAAATGGAGACTTTTTCTGCCAGCACTTAAAATTATGATGTATTGCTGCTTGATGTAGTGAGCAGCACATTAGTCTTATAAAGTTATGATTGTGCCAATATGAAAAAGCTCATAAAACTTACCATGTGTCTGCCAGTTTAGTGTATAGCTATCATGATTGTTAATTAAATTATTTATTTATTTAAGACAGGAATTAAAGGCATGAGCCACCTCCACCTGGCTCTTTATCTCTTCCTCTTATTTATCCATTTGTTTATTTATTTATTTTGGTTTTTCAGGACAGGGTTTCTCTGTATAGCTTTGGAGCCTATCCTGGCACTCTCTCTGTAGACGAGGCTGGCCTTGAACTTAGAGATCTGCCAGCCTCTGCCTGCCGAGTGCTGGGACTAAAGGCGTGTGCCACCAATGCCCGGCTCCTTATCACTTCTTAAAAATGAGTTATTTCACTAAGGGAGATGTGTTTTCTAGTGTGAATCATTCACTCATGATGCAGTTTTCATTGGTATAGGATGTTTCTAAACATATATGTCTGTGAGCTAAATAGTGAATAGAAACATTGACTTGATAAGGTAAGAAAATTGAAGACAAATTCTGCCTCTTACTTTCTTGATAATATTTTGAATAAAGCATAATATACATATACATTTTGAAGAGACCATGCCTATAAAATGCTCAAGTTCATGTGCATTTTCAGAGAAAGGCTCCTCTGTGATTGTAAACAATAAGGGTCAAAGGGACCATGACACACATCTGTTTGCTGTCTCATTTTATCAGTGCAGAACTAAGATCACAATGGAACCACCATCTCTGAAGTGTCTTGAACCGTGCCATTTAAATCTCTTCTGGAATCTGATGTGTGCTTGTGATAATATATGAAAAAATGGTAATTTATAGTGGAATAAAGTTGAGTATCTTAGGTTTGGCAGCAAAAAAGTCATTGAAGCAGGCATAGTACTTTCCCAGCAAACAAATAGCCATGTAAATTCACTCCCCAAACGTACCCAGTGTCAGACACCATGTGGTCTTGAATCTTGCTTCTCCATATTCTCTTGCTGTCACCTTGAACCATGCAGTGCTGCCTGTGAAACTGTTGCTGATGTCACTGGAAGGCCTGGCTTAAAAGCTGGGAGTTTGGCGTAAGAAATGCCTTTTAAAATCACCAGCCTTTAACTGTTCCAGTCAGACAGCTAACTAGGCCCTCTGTTGCGTACATCCTAATTAGCAGTGGGCTTACCCCTCTGTTCCAGTATTACTTGGCTGTTTCTAACTCTGGTTACCTCGCATGACTGGCACCTCTCCAGGAGCAGAAACTGGGCATTCTCTGTCCTTTCTCCCTGCATCTAGGGCGATACTGAGAAGACCATAACTGTCAGTCAGTAGTTTTATAAACGATAAGTGTAATGGAAAAAGCATAGGTTCGTATTGAAGAATGTCTGGAATGAGCTTTATCTGGGGTGACTTCCTTCACTGTTCTGAGCTTTGTTTTCCCACAAGTGGGTGGAAGTTTCCAGCTCAGATGACATTTTGTGATCTATGACACATGCATCATACTCTGATTTCAGTCCATCTCATCCAGCAAGCTTTTCTGTGGCCACCCAAACCTGTGATAGATGCTGGTGGACAACCATGATGAAGTTAACAGGCCGTTCTTCTTAGGAGATAAATAGTCCTGTCTTGTTATATTTTCCTAAATCATCCCAGTCTTAAACTAGACAGATCATTAATGTATACTGATTGGTTACTAACCCCTTTTACCCTGGGTGGGTTCCCTCAGCCTGCCCATGAGAAAGTAACAGTTTGTCATTTTGCCCCAATACTTGTGGCACACCACCAGCAGTTTTCACCAACCTTTCATTTTTCTACAGCCTTTCTAGTAGTCAAAAGCATTTCAGAATCGTGGAAGTGATGATGTTATAACAACCCAACAGGAATCCAGAGAGCTTTACATATCACAATCAAAAACCCATTCTTTATCAGGACTGGTGGCTATCCGAAGTCAACCATAGGACATATGAACTCAGGTGTTTTTTTCCAGGCACTTAAAAGTCTGTTCAATGGGACTCTGCTTATTGCTAGAAGTTGTGGGGATATTTTGTTTGTGCTCTAACAAATAAGCCTTGCCTGAAGTTCAGAGTGTGGAGTTAGCCATAGAGGCCAGGCAGTGGTGGCACACACCTTTAATCCCAGCACCAGGGAGACAGAGGCAGATGGATCTCTGTGAGTTCAAGGCCACCCTGTGCTACACGAGATGGAACCAGTCTAAAAGAGAAGCAGCCAGGCAGTGGTGGCTCACACCTTCAATCCCAGCACTTGGGATCACACGCCTTTAATCCCAGCACTAGGGAGGTGGAGACAGGAGTGATATGGCTGGGCAGGGAGAGGAATGTAAGGTGGGAGGAGACAGGAGCTCATTGCATTCTGTCCACCGAGGATTTGTAGGGACAGGATCACCCCTTTGGTCTGAGGATTCAGTAGAGGTAAGAACTAGTAGCTGGCTGCTCTGCTTCTCTGATCCTCAGGTAAGCTTTATTTGTTAAAACACAAGCAAAACATCACCACAAGGAATGAGGCTATTAGAAGCCTAACAGACTTGTTAGATTAGCAAAGTCCCAAAGAAACACTCTTCAACCTGTCATAACCAAGAAAAGGAAGGGAAGCATGGCCTTAAAGAGGTTCCTTGGGTATCATCTCATCATTGTTTATTTTACAGGATGATGAAATCTCAGCACCTGGGTCGTTACCCCACCAGCAGTGGAATAACAGTGTACAATTAGCGCTGTGAAAATGAGTCCCTTCTTTCAGTACATAGCCCTTGTTCAGTGATAGGAAGGCATGCGTGCAAAAACACTCAGGCTGTTGTGATTGCGTTGCTGGTGTTTTGCTTTGTGTTTTGTCAACTTGACACAATCTGGAGTTGTTTGAGAAGAGAGAAAAACAACTGCAATCAGCCCATTTGTGGCAACAATTGAGACAGGTTCATGGGCGTTTTCTTGACTGATGATTGATCTCAGAGGGCCCAGCCCATTGTGCGCGGTACTACCCCTAGGCAAGTGGTCCCAGGGTCTAAAAGAAAAACAAACCTAAACAAGCTGCGAGGAGCAAGCTAGTAAGCAGCACTCCTCCACTGCCATGCATCCATCAGGCCCTGCCCTGATTCCCTTTCGTGGTGGACTGTGGTGTAGAAGTGTAAGCCAAATAAACCCTTTCTTCCCTGTGTTGCTTTTGGTCATGGTGTTTTGTTCACAGCTATAGAACAATTTAAGGCGTAGGCATACACAGCTTACAGACTCGGGTTAACTCAGGAAGGAACTGTTCTAATTAGTAGGCATTGGTCTGAATGTTTGTAAATTAAGCACCACTGAGAAATGAGCAATTACATGTCCATTGGTCAGCCACCTGCTCCCTTTTCTTTAAAAACAGAATTTGATTGGCTTCCTTGTTTGGTTGGCTGGTGAGTTGGTTTGATGTAGTAGTTATTGTTTGTCTGTAATTGAGTGTTTAGGTTCTTGCTTTGAATGAAACATTATGTCTAGACTCTGGCCTTTTAGATGTGTGAAGACCTACTGGGCTCCCTCAAAGTCTAGGCATTTTGTTCTAACTACAGCAAAGATCTTTTTAGCTTGCATTGAGTGTTGAGCCTTCCCAAGCCTGATTCCAGAACACTCTTCTTCTCACCGTGATGGGGGTTTCCCATCAAAACCTCTGTCTCCCAGATGACGTCCAGCCCCCTCCTCTGCTTTGACGAAAGCGCAGGGGTGCTGTCTCGGTGAAGGTACCACCATCATTTAGTTTTGTGGCTTGTCCACCCCCTCACTCTCTGTGTCTAGTCCAGCGCTGAGCCTAGCTGATTCTGTCCATTGAGTAGTTAGTCCATGGTCCTCTTCTTTTTATAGCTTCTACTCTGGTCTGAATCCTTTCCTTTTCATTGTCACCATTCTAGTCTGAGATCACAGCTTCTACAGAGATCACTGCAGTCAATTTCTCATTCACATCCTTTCTCCCCTTCTCATCCCTCTTCTATACTCCTCAAAATGTGACTCTGACTAGGTCATCCCCTTCCTATGAGGCCATTTACCAGCTTCCCATTTCTCTTAGTAAAAGTATGGAATCCTCCTTGTGGCCTCCAGACTGTCATAGCCCTTTGGATGACTGAATCCCTACCACGGAACTTGGAGTAATCTTAGCCTGACTCCTTTATTAACTTCTGATGGCCTTTGAGACCTTGCTTAGACCTTGCTACTTGCTAGACTGATGTGTCACGGCAGGCACAGTGTTCGTGTCCTTCCTGGCCTTCTATGTAACTTACAGCTTACATCTACAGTATGCTGTTGACCAGTGTCCACTCTGAAACACTGCAGGGCGCATGAGAGTTGCTGTGTCTTTTGCTCACAAATGTATTTCTAGTTGGAGAGTGGAGGAGGCCTTTGTCCTGAAGGACTTCCGTTAAGCTCATGGGAATTGGCCACAGGAACAGGAAGGCTTTGAAGGATTTAATCAGAGAAACAATGTGATCCGATGGTCCTTCTGTGAAATGCCTTGGCTTGGGTCTAGACAGATGCTCCTAGAATGAGGTAGAGTCCCAGGGACTGCAGAGCATTGCTTTTCTTCTCTACTGTACTTCGGTCCCCCTCTCTAAACCCAGGGAGAAGGGTTGCCCAAGCCTCTCACACATGCCTAGTCGTCATCTGCTAATCACTGAAATTCATTCATTCTGAACGATGGTGCCTGACTTCCTTAAGCACACACTCGACACTTGGAATAGTACAGTGAAAACCAGCCCAAGTTCACGTGTGATTTGGAATAACACAGTGAGAACCAGCCCAAGCTCACATGTGACTTGGAATAACACAGTGATAACACAGTGAGAACCTGCCCAAGCTCATGTGTAACTTGGAATAACACAGTGATAACACAGTGAGGACCAGCCCAAGCTCACGTGTGACTTGGAATAACACAGTGATAACACAGTGAGAACCAGCCCAAGCTCACGTGTGACTTGGAATAACACAGTGATAACACAGTGAGAACTAGCCCAAGCTCATGTGTATCTTTGCCCCACATCTCTTTAACCCAGTATGGAAGGTGCTACAATGGTAATTTGAATGGAGTATTGGGTCTCGGAGCAGATTATAATTTAAGTACTTCCTAGTGGTGCCAGGAAGTGCCTTCAAGCAGAGGCAATCCTTGAGTTGGTAGGAGTGGTAAGGATTCATCAGATAGAGAGAGACATAAGGAACAGGGACAGAGTGCAACAGAGAGACATGATCTATTGAGAAATGGCTTTTTCTCTGAATTGGAAGATGTGCCTTAGAGTCACATGGTAAAGTGACTATTCATACTGAAATGGCAGTAGGAACATTAAGCTTTAGTCCACCAAAAATGACTGGATCACTCTACATGTCTTTGGCTTTAAAAAAAAAGTATTTGTGGGAACCATTTTCATTAAAGGTCAAATACGTCACTAAGAAAGCATTGACTACACCAGCATGAGTAATGGTCACAAGTAGCTACGACACAGTAGAAACATTATGAGTTCTTCTGTGGGTAGGCTGGGATAGGCCCTGAGGGGAGCGAGCACCAGGCTCCTAGTCAGCTGGCTCAGAGCAGCCCTGTGAGGTGAGGCGAAGCACATGTCCATACCCGCACGTGTGCCATCCTCTGACAGCTTCCACTTGTATTTTGCAGTCCCATGGAAAATGGAAGGCCTCCCGATCCTGCAGACTGGGCTGTGACAGACGTCGTCAATTATTTCCGGACAGCGGGATTTGAGGAGCAAGCCAGTGCTTTTCAGGAACAGGTAACCGAGGCTGGGGAAACACAGGATGGCAGCTCACACCCTCCTCACACTGAGGAGGGAATGTAGAGGGAGACCAGAGAGCAGTGAGGGGGCAGAGAGGCAGGAAGGAGGAGCAGGAAGAGAGTGGCAGCCTGTGGTTCCTCCTCCAGAGGAAAGCCAGCCAGCGGCTGGAGCACAGCGGAGAGAGGCAGCCTCAGCTCGTCTCAGTGGGAGCCCTCGGAAGGACACGCTCACAGGTGAGAGGGTTAGTCCTGTCTTCCCCGCAGACATGGGAGGAAGCAGGCAGCAGGAAAGAGACAGACAGACAGACAGACAGACAGACAGACAGACAGACTCTGCAGAGACACACAGCCCTCTCCACAACACCTGACTCCAGTTCCCAAGGGACTACTCAGCCCCGGTGGTTTGCTTTTGCAGGTGCTCATCAAGGTAGAGCCTTGGGTATTGAGTCAAGTTCAGGGGTGTACGTGCACGTGCATGAGCACGAGGGTGCGCGTGCGTGCGTGCATGCACATGTGGGAGCAAGTTACTGGAGTTCTTTGAGTCTTTGTTTTGCATCTTTTACGGGATTCTCCATATCTGATACACAGAAATGTTACTCTAACAGTTTAAAGGAAAAATATACAAATTGCAACCCTTTGGCACAGTGTTGGTGTTAAAAAATGTTAACTTCTTTCTCTTGGGCCCAGGGTTGACTTTAGAGACAGGGAAGAGCTGGTAGGTCTCTTCCCCAGGCGATTTATGACTCCATCCAGCAGGCTGAGCCAGCATTATAGGAAGGGCCCTCCTAGAGGCAAATGGGGGAGACCTTGTGGTCCACCTGTCAGAACACAAAACTCCTATCCCTCCTGCCACGGAGGCTGCAGTTTTCTAGGCATTAACTTCATTGGGTCATAATGTAGTTGAGAATTAGAAACTGAAGAGTGTGTCCGGGTATCCAGTCTACATGATGTTCCCCAGAGCTTATTAGTACAGCCCAAATTCAGATAAAGTCACCTCTTACATGCCCCCTCGCCTGTCTCTTCAAGACTGTTTCCTTCCAACTTGATCCTCATACACGTGTCACTGCTCACTAGTTCGGATCGTTTGCCAAAATAGAAGCTTTTAAGTGACTTTACAGCCACTACAAGAATTAAAACTGGAAAGAGCATTGGCGACAGCTGTGCACGTGTAGCAAAGCAGGATGCTCCCAACTGCTGGCGAGGGTGCGGAATGGATGCACCTACCAGGATGCAGCAGTCTCTCTCCTGGGTGTTTACCAATGGAGAGTGAAAGCATGTCTGTAAGGAGATTTGTATGAAATTGTCGCTAGCAGCCTTTTGCATAGTTAGCAAAAATTCGAAGCCTAGATTTAGAGTTGTATACAAAATGAGTATGTAAACAGAGGTGCATGCATAGTGGAGTACCACCCACTAATGAAAACAAACGAATTCCTGATACATACAATGGTTTAGATGAGTCTCAATAACATAATGATTAAGGAGAGAAGCGTTACACAACAGGGCTTATGCCAAATATGCCCATGTTAGATTTTCAGACTGCTAAAACAGATCAGTAGTCAAAGTCAAAGTCAAAAAACAAAAACAAAAAAACAAAAACAAATCAGTGCTTGGGTGTGAACAGGTAGAGGTGGGGGATGATTTATGAAGGTATGTGAGGGAATCTTCTGGTGATGCCAACACTCTGTGGGTTGACTATGGCTAGAATTTTAAACTGTGTGCACATGCGTGTGTGTGTGTGTGTGTGTGTGTGTGTGTGTGTGTGTGTGTGTGTGTGAAGGGTTAGTGTATTGGTTACTTTTACGTTGCTGTAATAAAATACAACTTACAAAAGAAAGGATTTATTTGGACTGTGGTTCCAAAGGGACGAGAGTCCTTCCTGGTGAATAAGCATGGCAGCAGGTGACAGACTTGGCGGCAGGAGCGGGAAGCTGATGGCTCCTGCTTGAAACACATACAAAAGCAGAGGTAGCAAAAAGGAAATAGGAAGAGACTGTAAGCTTGCAAAGCCTGCCCACAGCGCTATACTTCCTCCAACAAGGCCACACCCCTGACCGTCCCCAAACAGCGTCACAAACCAGGGATGGCGTGTTTAAATACCTGAGCCCATGGGAGACAGCCTCATTCAAACCACTACAGTTAGGTCTAGAAGAGTATATGTCACTGTCTCCTGACCAGGCTGTGGACTCTCGGTGTCTGTACTAGCGCCTGCATATACTGGCTTGTGCAAGAAAGCTGAACAGTGACATGAAACTGAAGATTTGGGGGGAATGTATTTAACGAAGTAAGTTTAGAGAATTTAAGAGGTAGGATATAGGCGCCCACAAAACGTTATTTTTCTCATGTCTGAAAATTATTTTATATTAAAATTCTAGTGGAAAATAACAGCTTGGCTTGGAAAGTAGAAGCTAATCATCTAGAGCATGTTTTATTTTGTTTGTTTAATGCTATGATGGCCGTTCGTGTCATTGAAATTGAGTAGCTCCCTTGTAAAATTAAATTTAAGTAATATTGTAAAAGGTTCACAAAAAAAAATGTCTCAGATGAAAGGTTCCCTGGCCGGGTTCCCAGATGCCCAGAGGCCTTTCCAGGTTGCAGTTTTGCTCAGATTCCTGCCAGACACCCCACACGAGGAGACAGCATGCTCTCTGGGCCTTACAGACTCTGTACAAGGCTTTGCAAATGAGATGGAGCATCACAGAACTTAGCCAGGCAGGGGCACTTTTCCCAGAGAGTGACCTCATTCTGGCACGGGGGACTCTGAGAGGTAACCTGGAGCATTTCGTGGAGAAATCCCTCACAATATCGCTGTATCTTAGTCTACCCACTGTGGAGCTGGGTAAACAAATCCCCAGAAGACGGAGCAAGTCCTGAAACCCAAGCTCCTTCAGTCACGCCAGAGTAGCTCAGTGGGTAAGGAGAGGCCCTTGAATTAGTCTCTGGGGGCGACTCACTTCTTTCTGCGGCTGTGACAATTTCATTCCCATCGAGGGACTCACAGGGTGTCACTGAATGGGCCAGGGTGGCATGCCATGCCATGCCATGCCCTGCTACGATATACTCATGGGCGCGAAGGCAAGTCCTCTAGTACATTTGTTTATCTGCATCTTCATCACCAGCGTCTCCTGGACAGTCACCCCCCCCCCCCCCAGTCAGAATTCACCAGTTATATCCTGACATGAACACTGAAGGTCATCTGCAGCCTAATGCTATGCTTTTACAGGCCCCCTGTTAGGTTACAGCAGCCAAGAATCCGTAACAAAGCGGTAGGAGCCGTGCATAGACAGGGAACAGCCACTACCCGCCCGTTGAATGAACTGGTCCAGCCTGGGAGCATGGCTGCCGCTGATTCGGGAAGCCACTGTTTCAGGGCTGGTTCCTGCAGCCTGCATGTCTGAGTTCCCCCAACACCCACAGGGAGAACCTAATGATGCCGCATGTGATGATGGGAGGAGCCAAGGCCATTGGGAGGAAACTAGGCTTAGATGAGACCCTAAGGGTGAACCACCCCCTCGGCAGCATGAAGTAGGGCACTGCACTACACTGCTCTACCCCACAAGGGTGGCTGGCCACCTGGGGTTGACTAGCCTCTTACTATCAGCATGTGCACCTGCTCCCACTTAGCCCTTAGAGCCTGAGGGTTCCCTGTAGTTCAGGAAGAACCTGAAGGTTCCCTGTAGTTCAGGAATTTCTGTCAGGGTCTCTGATAAGCCTTGCTTGAGCCGCAAGCACATCATAAGCACCACCAAGAGGAGAATCTAGGCCACGCCCACCCTGCCGTCATGGCCGAGTGTGGGTTCAGGCTGCATTCTGTGTGACTAGGAAGGTTGTTCTCCCTGGAGCCAGCTGGCGATGTCTGCTGGGGACTTCAGCCGGGCGCGTTAACATGGATGCTCAAGGGACATGGTGGTTAGTAAAAGTGAGGGAGAAGGCAGGGATGACTGGACGCCAGCACCATCTCTCCCACAGCCAAAGTGCCTGTTTCCCGTGTATCCTAGTGAGAGGCATGAGTGGGGGTCACGACCCCTGGTTTATTTCCTCCTAATTTCTTCATGCTCACTGGGTGACCCTGGGACGTTTGCTTTGCTGGGACTCAGATTCTACACAGGATGTTGTGTTCAGCAGCAGAGCATTGCCTTAGCTCCTCCCGTGAGCCCAAGGTGTGCCGTCTTGAGACAGGTCCTCCTGAGCATGGCTTCCAGCGGCCCAGAACAAGATGAAAAAGACACTTTTGGCTTAGTGATTTTTTTTAAGTGAGTGATTAAAAAAACCTGGGTTGCATGGTTTTTAAGATCAAAGTATGTCAATAATTTTATTTTCTTAAGAGCTTCTGAGGGACTGTTTTGACTAATCTCAGCAAAAATACCTCCACCTGCCTCAGAGCATGATGATGGGGTGCACTTTGTGAACACTTTCTGGTTCAAGCAATGTCATCTGTCTTTACAGTGGCATTGTCTGTGGCACGTCACCACTCAAACTCTAATCACAGGTCACAAAGACAATCCTTCCGAGTGCTGTTTGGTCACTTTGCTTTTCGGCTCTCTCTCTCTCTCTCTCTCTCTCTCTCTCTCTCTCTCTCTCTCTCTCTCTCTCTGACTCACGTGCACTTACGGTGTGTAAGGAGAAGATGATGTTCAGTCTCTGTCATGTGGTTCAGACCTGCAACGTCCCCATTCGTATGAGTGAGTGAGTGAGTGAGTGAGTGAATGACATCAGTGATTTTATTTCTGGAACACTGTGTATCTCTGAGATCACTTTCCCCTCAGAATACCATGACAAAATAACATGCAACTCAAAGCAGCACATTATCTTTCCTCTATTACCTTTCCCTTAGGCACAAAATAAATAAATAAATAAATATGCCTCTTATCTGAAATACCCATCTGGTGAATTCATAATTTGAAACCTGAAGATCGGACGTTCTTTTCAGCCCGCTCATTGCGGCTAACATGGATCAAATTTTTGAGAGTGCCAACTCGATCAAGATAAAGAGAACTTTGTATGTCTGCATGTTGTCAGCTATACTACCTACCTCAAAAGGGAGTAGCTAAGGGGGAAGCCCGCGTTAACAATCACGAGCTCAGTGTCCAAAGCCATGCAACTGCAGTGTCTCCCGACAGGAAATCTAGACTCACGTCCTTGTGTGCAGGAAGTGACCCAAAGAACCCGATGGATTAAAACGGCAGCAAATGGAGAAGGGTTAAACGAGGCAGAGCTCCCCCAGGCTGTGGGAAGGGAGGGGATCAGAACCCCTGTGTGTGGAAGAGCCAGGCTGTGGAGAAGCTGCAGCTTTGCATCCTGATGATAGGAGCAGAAAATGGCACAGCCACTCTGGAAACCTGTTTGGTGGCTCTTCGGAAAGTCGGGCATAGAATTGCCACAACTCAGCCGCTCTTCAGCAATAAGTGCAAGGCCACCACAGCGTCAATCACAATGACCAGGCAGAAAGGGCCCGGGTGCCCATGAACTCGTAAACAGGCAAACACAATGTGGGATGTGCACAAAACGGACTATTATTATTCATCCATAAAGAGAGATGAAGGTCAGCTACAACATGGGTGAGCTTTGAGGACATGCCTACTAGTTGTTATATATATATATATATTATACCTGTATGAAATATCTGATGTAGACATTCACAGATACACCAGGAGATTGGTGTTCACCAGGAGAAGTTTATGGTTGGAATGATGGAAAAAATGTAAAAGTAGATAGTGGTGATCACTGAACTACATGGTAGGAATGATTATGTTATTACTATATACTTAGACATGGTTAACATCGCATGTTTTATATGATATAAATTTAACTTAAAAAGTTAAACACTTGCATCTTCTAGGTATCATTAACCGGTGAGTGTATGTGTATATGATATGGTGGGGCACATATGTGGAGGTTAAATGACAACACTGGGGAGTCCATCACCCCCCCCCCCGACAATGTTTGGGGGAAAGTGCCTTTACCTGCTGAGCCACCTCTCCAGCCTACAATATAAATTTTAATTCAATAAAAATTTCTAATGTAACATTAATCATGGTATATGATGGCTCAGATGGTTAATAAAATTTTCAAATATTTTATTTTGAAAATTTGAAGAAAGGGCTGGAGAGACGGCTCAGAGGTTAAGAGCACTGGTTGCTCTTCCAGAGGTCCTGAGTTCAATTCCCAGCAACCACATGGTGGCTCACAGCCATCCGTAATGAGATCTGGTGCCCTCTTCTGGCCTGCAGGGACGCATGCAGGCAGAACACTGTATACATAATAAATAAATCTGTAAATAAAAATGTCCTCTTTTAAAAAAATACAAAGGAATGATCAGGGCTGTTTTAAACTGTGTTGGAGACATAGGGAAGGATTAATTGTATGTGTTTTCGTAACCAAACTAAGGCATGCCCAGATATCTAGAACAGCGTTATGGTGGGTGTGTACCTGCAAGTGTGTTCATGGGAGAGATTAAAATTTGATCACCTGTGTGGATGAGCCTCATCTAAGCTAAGGACAACGCTGGTAGAACACTAAGGTGGAGCGTATCCTAGTCGACACTGTCACGTGACTGCTGGAGTCAGCTGAAACACGAGTCTCAGTCGAGTAACTGTCCTTGTCTGTGAGGGGCTGTCTTAATCCATCCTTGTTTTAGGAGGGGCCAGCCCATGTGGACACTGTCACTCTCTGCACAGAGTCTTGGACTGTCCAGGGGAAATAGCTGAGTCTTTATGCAGGTCCGCAAGCAGCCTCCCTCCGCCGTTTCTGCTCCGAGGTGTACTACTTGGGTCCCAACCTTGACTTCTTCAGTGGAGTGTAAGCACATACACTTTCCTGTTCTAAGCTGCTTTTAGTCGTATCGCTTTATCACAGCAACAGAAAGGAGGAAGAATGAGTTTACCCTGTGAGGCCTGAGGTGTCTGTCTGTCTTCTGCCAGCAAACACTGCAGCTCTCAGTTCCCAGGCCTTCAGGTGCTAAGCAAGATTTGCATCATCAGCCATTCATTCCCCAACCTCAGGTCTCCAGATGTTTGAATTCACACCACCCGTTTCCTCCGAGTCCCGTTTATAGTTCAGACATAACTTATGAACCCACATTTGGCTCATTTCCTTGGAGGATCCAGTGTATTCCGTCTTGGGGAGACATCTAGGAGCTTCGTGATGGTTTCTCTGTTTTGTTTAACTAAACAGGAAGCAAATTCTGCTTCGAGTGAAAGGGAGGGGACAGAGGTTTAATTAGAAACTAGAGAGTTAAGAATGGCCACAAGGGGCATGGGAAGGAGATGGTTAAAACCAAGTCCAGTGTCTGCATTGTCCCTGCCCAGCCGAGGTGGTGCAGTGTGTCCTCTTTGTGGCTTGTCCCCTTGTCGGCAGCTCTGGGTCTAGGAGCTGCAGGTGCAGAATCGCCGGCTCCTCCTGGCGTGGGTGTTTGTGGCCAGGGCACAAGAAGGCTATTCGTCGCCCAGGGCTGCTTTAGATGATCAGTGAAAGAATGGCTCCCCCTGTCAGCCACGGGCGTCACACAGGGGTGAAAGGGACTGAGAACAGTGCAGAGCATGGCGTGGAAGTGAAAGGCTGATTTGTAAGAGCACAGAGGGAGGGCAGTCAGGGAGCATCGAGTTGGTGCTCAGGGCTGCTCAAGGCTAGCTGATAGCGTCTCGGGAACAGGATCTAAATATAAGTAGACCACCGTCACACGCAGGTGACAGCGTGGCAGATGGCGCAGCCATTTTCTCCCTCACAGCAACAGTCTGGTGTGGTTTGTGGGGGTGATCAGCTTCACTGTATCTCACAAGTCCAGGGATGGACCCTCTGCCTTTCTCGGTGGTGGCAGCTTCCAGATGCCCTGGTCGCTGGCACCAGCCACTGGCAGGAGGGAAAGCCAGGGGGTGGGGTGGTGAACACGTGGCAGCTTCATCGTCTGCCTGAGAGAGGCCGCTCCACCCTTCCCACCTCAGGCCATACATAAGTCAGTCGCACACTGCGACGAATTGCAGAGAAGTTTGGGAAATGTGCAGACGTGGGTGGGTGGTGGGGTGCTCACTCCCCGCGGTCAACTTGACAGAGCCTAGAATCACCTGGGGGATAAGTCTCAGGGTGCACCTGTGGGGTTGATCTTGTTTGCGCTGACCGGGGTAGGGAAAGCCGGCCCCTGAAGGTGGAACCGTATGTACGTGAGGCCAGGGGGCTGAGCAGCACCAAGTAGTCCCCGCTGTCGTCTTCCTGATCGTGGCTGCCATGTGATCACCTGCTGTAAGTTCTGCTGCCTGGACTCACCCAACAGTGGGAGAGGACAGAGCCTTCTCCTTTAAGTCACTTTTATGAGGGCATTTTTGCCACCGCAGCAGGAACGGAATCAAGACAGGTGGTGAACGCCCCTGCTATACTCGAGCACCCCCCCCCACTGCTGCCATTTCTTCTAAGTAGTATTTGTGGTTTTGATATTGCTACTTAGTTTCATTCTTAAATACAGAGATAAAGTTCCGAAAGGTCCCCATTAGCAGATCAGCTGGAGAGCGCACTGAATGAGGAGTCAGCTGCCGATGCTGTTCCCTCCACGTGTCCTTTAAAATCCCTGCTTAGATCTGCCTCCGACCCAGTGTCCTTGCTTGATGAACGAATTTTATTTTTTCTTTCATCAGAAGGATCTTAAAAATTACAACCCCCAACCCATCACCCCCGTTGTGCCAATGGAGATATTAAATAACAAAGGGCAGGGGCCGAGAAGCTGTCCCAGCGGTTAAGAACACTGGCCGCTCTTCCAGAAGACCCAGGTTCGATACCCAGAACCCACATGTTTGGCTCACAATTGTGTGTACTCCAGTTCCGGGCGACCTGACACCCTCTTCTGGCCTCCACAGACACTGCACCCAAGTGGCACACAGACCCATATACAAGCGAAACACCCGTACACATAACACAGTAAAATAAAACAATTTAAAAGACCACAGGACAAGTCACCGTGACACCCAGGGGGGCACCGAAAGCATCTGCCCCCACAGCGACCCAAAGTGGATGTTGGGTCTGCTGGTTTGCGGCTGTTACGAACACGGCAAGTACTTTTTCTCTCTGTTAACAAGATGCACTGTGCTGACTTATTGTGAGCGTGTTTACCTTGGGATAAGTTAAGGTCTCTGCGGTTTTCGTTGATCCACCTCAGGTTTCCCAGCACTGTGAGAACAAGGCAGGCCTGCAGCATCAGCCTAGAGTCACTGGCTTAAGGTGATGACCTCATAGTCACCCCCCTCCCCCAGTGAGCAGCAGAGGCAGGGTGGCATGTGAAGGAGCCACACCCTGAAGAGGAATCTCTCCACCAGAAGCGGCTTCCCCCTGAGAACCATGTGAAGAAATTCAAAACTCTAAACTTTAATGACTGCCCATCTTCCTTTCTGAAGTTATATGGAAATTCTTCAAAAATCTCAACCCTTGGCGGGGCAAGGCTGTTTGAAGAAACATGGTGAATTATTACCAAGTTCTAGGGGTGCCCCAGAATGCTTCCTCCTCTGATATCAAGAGGGCTTTCCACCAGTTGGCTCTGCAAGTACACCCAGACAAGAACCCGGGAGACAAGGATGCGGCAGAGGAGCAATTCAAACAGGTCGTAGAAGCCTATCACATCTTATCGGATGCCAAGAAACGCAAGGACTATGACAGGTCCCGAGGGAGCCGTACCAAAAGACAAATCAGAGGTGATGTCCGTACCGCAGGGGAAACCAGAGGCGCTGGCCGAACGACAGAGGAAACCAGCGGTGATGACTGTGCCGCGTGGGAAACCAGAGGCGCTGGCCGAACGACAGAGGAAGCCAGCGGTGATGACTGTGCCGCGTGGGAAACCAGAGGCGATGGCCTGACCAAAGCGGAAACCAGAGGCAATGCCAGAGACAAAACCCACTTGGAAGAAGAAATGTGCTTTCAGAGGCCACGCCGTGCCTTCCCGAAGGACACTGACTATGAAGACATCTTTTCAGGAGACTGTTGGTTCACTAGTCCCATGGCTCCATCCAGAAGAGCGTCTTCCGCCTTCTTTAGCGTCACCCCCATTATGGACACAGGCTTTTCTACTTTTGTGTCCCTAGGGTCGAGATTGGGTCCTGCTGCCTCTGAGACATTCGTACCGTATGTAAGCCATGGAATGGGAAAGTTCAGGCTGGTCACCACTTGTAGCCAGATAGTGAATGGTAAGAGAGTTGTCACAAAGAAAGTTGTAGAGAACATGAGAGGACCAACGGAAGTGGGAAATGGACACCTACTTCGCCAGAGCCCTTCACGCAGTTGGTAAGGAACTGCCCTTGTGTTCTTCACCCAGTGTCGCAAACAAGATTGGGTGTCTTGAGGCCTGTCAAAGACAGTGGGGATCTGAGGGTGGAGCGGCGTAGACAGAGGTCGGCAGAGCCTGAGACTCTCCTCACTGTGGAGGGGAGTCACGGGCCAGATGTTATCCCAGGGAACCGACTGGTGAGGAGCAGAGCTGGCTTCCGGCCGTCTTCTTGCTCGGTAACAGGTGGGGGACAGACACACACCACACCAAAAGGCAGAACCCCAGTGCTCTCTCACTGTTGTCCCACTGTCCCTTGCCTCCTTGGTGACTCCTCCTTTTGTTTCCCTAGCCTTGTTTTTTCTCTCTATGCCTCTTTCTCTTGTCCCATCATCTCACCTCTTTCCCCGTGAATGGTTCATATCATGATCGGGTCCAATTCGAGGAGTTAATCCAAACGCAGATGAATGCTGATGGAGAGTGAGAGGTCAGTGGGCTAAGGGTTTTGTGTCATGCACTGGCTGCTCAATAGATGTCTGGAATTATCTCTGAATCCCCCAGAGTGCAGTCTGCTTTCCCCCATCTCCCAGATGAGGAAAGGAGGCATGAAGAGATACAGTAGCAAGCCCCAGCCCTGCCTCATGCTCCCTGAAGTGGAAGCCACTCTTCCCCCTTGATTTATAAACCTGGGGCCTCAGCTTAATTGGAAACTCAGACCCATCATCTCAACACCTTGCTAGAACTTACTAAACAGACAGACATCTTACCGTTCTGGCCCAACGGGAGTTTGGAGTTTGCTTATCCATGAAGACAGGAACACTGTAGCACAGTGAAGCCAGCAAATGTGTATCCACTGACACGGAAATCCCAGGGCGTGAACTACATCTTTGTTCTTGCTTTAATTGAGCTGGATTTACAAACTCTTTTGTTGTTTGTTTGTCCTGCTGAACCAGAGTCTGTTGCGTGCATTTCACCCCTCCAACTTAGATTAATAGACTGCTGGGATCCGGGTGAGTTCCTCCTTAGAAAAACTACAGTTTCCAGCCAATACTGATTAGAAAAAAAAAAAAAGAGTTTCATTTGCAATTATAATCTATTATGGAAGTTAAATAACAAATTATTAACAGTTTTAATCAAGGGGCTTTCCCATGGGTGAGATTTTGATGAGGCAAATGTTTTATGCAGTTCTTGAGAATTTTAATCTTGGTGAATTTTTCTGACCCTAAGGGGGCATACGCTTGCATCCCTTCTGTCAAAGACACAGGAAGGAAGCAAAGGGCAGACTTGGACTGGGAAGGCCCTGGTGTCTTTCAGTGGCCATCATTTGCTACGGGGAGGAGAAACATCCCACTGTTTGGAGCGGGGTCTTTATGTATGTAACGCAGTGCAGCTGGGGGCCCAAGGTTGCTAACGTGTCGCCAGGTGCGTTATTCAGAACAGGGCGTGTGTGCTTAGTACCCGCAGACAAGGGTGTGGAGCTGCCAACGGCATTAGAAGAGGCCTGTGGACCTAGCTCAATCGAATAGACTCCCCCGCCCGGCCGCTGAAGTGTTGCCTGTGCTTGCCTGCCCACTAGGTTGTGGTAATAGGATTCAAACTGCGGCCTGCCTGACCATCAGCTGGCAGCCACCTGGTACTGCGTCCTTCCCTCCTGTGTCTGAGCTGCCTGAGTCAGGGTTAGAGGGGAAAGCTGGGCCAATAGATGACGCCCTTTCAACACTTGCACAGTGAGTGTCTCCAGACGGACCCTTCTGCCCACTGCTCAGAGGTGAACTGCAGTGTGTGCCTGAGGGACAAAGGGAAATCATCAAATTGGGACATGAAACATGGTTTTCCCTTACGTCTCGAGCAAAGCCCGGCTCTCGGCCGTTTTCACGGCACACTTGGCAGGAGTGCTGAGTTGCAGAGGGGGGCGTTTGGACAGCACTGGGTTCTTCTCGCCACAGTTCTCTTCCAGTTAGTAAAGGAAGTTTGCTTGTGTGGAAATGAAAGCGGGGTCCGGAAGCAGGGGTGCCGGCCTGAGACACAGAGGCTGTGTATGTAGTCTCAGCAGGGGAGACGAGCAGCCAGGGCTCAGCTCCACGGGGCGTTGCAAGTTCGAGTCCATCCCCCCCAATGCAGAGACCGCTGTGGTCTCAGCGTCCTGGGTTCTGCTGCGGTCACATAGTGCCCTCCTCTCTGCTCCTGGGGTTTCTTTGGGGACAACTCCTCTCAAGCAAGCTCACCTCAAAACAGTTAACAGGCGATCCAGGTATGACTGATGGGCAGCCTTGATCACTAGTAACACTGAGGGGGCCTGGGAGAGGGACAGAGGGCAGGAGATGACTTTACAAGCTTTCGGGTTGTTCAGGTCCCATGTTGATGAGTAGTTCCCAACTGCCCCGGGGCGGCTGCTTCTTCATGTGTGGTGGTTGCCTCTCACAAATCAGCACGAGACGTTTTAGTGGCTGGAAAATAGATGTTTCCCAAACTCTCTGGAGCAGCTAGGAGCGATCCCTTGTGCTTCTGTCTCGTGATTGGTGGCTGACAAGTAAAAATGAGCTGTGGAGAGCAGTGAGGACGACAGGAAGTGTGTAGCTCAGGGAGTGCCTAGCTCAGGGAGTGAGTGCAGGCAGGCCTCCAGGGACCCTGATGGAAACCCCGTGTTTCCACATCTCCCAGGACGGGGGAGGAGCAGGGGCTGTAGAGTGGGAAATTCTCTAGCCCCTTTGACCTGGTGCTGTTTCTCCACACTCTCAGAGTTCAGCTCATTTTCCCCACTCCATGAGTGTGGGGAGCAGTGGCCTTCCTGGGGGTGGGGGGAGTAAATGGGGTTACAGTTTCATGAGGTCACGCAGTGTCTCATTGGCCCAGGTTATGAACAAAGCTCTTAAGCACAGCCGTCCCAAACCTGCTGAAGAAGAGCTGGGTGTGCCTTAAGAGACGGACAGTTTCTTCCCTGCATGCTAGCAAAGGCACAGTCACAGTTAGCATTCTCAGAGCTTCCTTTCCATAAATTCAAAGCATCCTCTCTGTTCAGACCATTTTCATATCCTTTGTGGGAAACCCATTTTAATTTCCTCCTTTGTAGTCTCCAGAATACCCAGAGGGCCCAAGGGATGGACTCCAAGGGTCCCGGGTAGAAGGCCTGGCAACTGCCAGAGTCCCAACCTCAACAGCTTTGTTCTTTCTCCATTGAGAGGAAGCTTGGGAGGGAGCCTCCATGTTTCCCAGGTTGAGGGAGGGCAGAAGAGAGACTCGCTATTGCTTACTATTACAATTAGCAGGATTTCCAGAAGCCTTCGAGTCTAGACTCAGACCATCTAGATAACAAACATTTAACTATGACCTTAAGCAGAGGGGGCCGGAACTAGGGTTTTGGGGTAGAGTACTGTCCCCCAGGATAATGCCCTTAAAGCCCTGGTTTTCCTCAAAGGGGAGATGGGAGACAGAAGGAAAGTGGACAGAGGCTGTGACAGACAAGATTTCAAGGCCCATGCCCTCTTTTCCTAATTCTTGTTGTGTCAAGCTAATAAACTTCCCGCTCGATGTGTTGTGCCCAAATTCTGAACCCCAAAATCACCAAGAGGCCCATTTCGATGCAAAAGCAAAGAATCTTTTATTGTAGATGTTTAACGAGCTAACCCATTAGCTCTGGCCCTTCACTCCAGGAGAAAGACCCCAAGCAACCTCAAGGCAGGGATTTTTTTTTCCAGTTTAAATTTAGATAAGAAACGAGGTTGCTTCACAAGTCAGTTCCAGGTCCCTCTCCCTTTCCCTCCCCTTCTCCCATGCCCTCCCCCCAAACCTCCCCATTATCCCCTCATTTCCCCAGGGAGGGTGAGGCCCTGCATGGGGGTGTCCATAGTCTGTCATTTCATATAGGGCAGGGCCTAGACCCTTCCCCAAGAGTTCAGGGTGAGAGTGCACCTCACATTGTTCTATGGGAGTCCAAAGTCCATGTGTATACTTGGGATGGGTACTGATCTGCTGCCCAAGGCTCAATAGATTCCCTAGGCCTCCTCACTGACACCCAGATTCAGGGGGTCTTGATCAGTCCCATGCTGGATTCCCAGGCTGATGCCTGGGATTCAAGAGTTAACCTTTGTCTGGTCAGCTGTTTCTGGGGGTTAAACCAGCCCAGTCTTAATCCCTTTGATCCTCAGTTCAAGGCAGGAATCTTAAAGGGCAGCATAAGGGGAGTGTCTAGGGGTATGAAACAGTCTCAGGATTGGTGTGCTTCTAAGTTTGGACAGCCTGCCCTGTGTTGATTGGTCAACTGGTTGTTATGGCCCATAGGTCCTCCCAGGACGGTTGCTATGCTCTGCACGTCACTGTTGTGCACTGTCTGTAAAGAACACCCAGAGCCGTAAAGCACAGCCCTGCCAGCTAACTTCTGATTGGTTCCTTGCCACGAGGAGGACATCTAACCTTAGTGACCAGGACAGGAGTGGAAAGGTCGTGCAAGCACATGTTAGCCTGTCATGGCTGCTAAAATGGGGAGGCTGGTCGCTACAGATCCTTGCTTTGCCTATAAATTGAGGATGATAGTCTCTGCCTGTTGTAATTTATAGAGTGCTTTGGGAACTTAAGTATATGGGGGAATTCTAGCACATTTCAATATATTTTATGGATGGAATGTGTCCTTGTCCCTTTCAGAAGGAACAGCTCTGATCCCTGAGGTGGGTACACACTGTTTTAAACTCGCCCCTGAGTTTCTTAAGATTTGTGATAGGATCTTGAAAACAAGATAAGCTATAGATTGTTCTTAATCTCAAAACAGAAGATGTTTTGAAATAGAAGATGGAAGATATACTAGAAGATTCCATTTTGACCCTATTATAGTAGTTTTTAGCTGGAGACAAGTGGTGTAACTACTGTCTTTACCCTTCCCTTTATCTTTTTTACCAAGACCTTCTAGGCTCACTCACACACTGGCTTTCTGTTTTCCTTCTAGGAAATTGATGGAAAATCTCTGCTCTTGATGACGAGAAATGACGTGTTGACAGGACTTCAGTTAAAATTGGGGCCTGCTCTGAAAATCTATGAGTATCATGTAAAACCTCTTCAGACCAAGCATTTAAAGAACAGCTCTTCATAGTAAAAATGAAATTGAGGTATCAGTCCTCAAAACAAAATACACAATAATGAAATTTAGTTTCATGTTGTGAAACTTCACGAGCAGAATACTTACACGTGTATATGTAATGACCTTTGATCCAACAAAGTGTTATCCTGTTGGATAGAGTAGGCAATCTATCGGCTGGCCTGTCTCAGCCCAGAGGAGCAAAGACAGAATGTACACACAATGGCCGTCCTTGTCAAACCAAGTCATCGTTGACTCTTAGGTGCCCCTCCCCTCAGGGCTTTAGAATTACTAGAATTTTCTTTGCTTCATCGTAGACTGATTGCCATCAACTCCTTAAACAAGAGGGTGGGTGTGGAATGAGGGATCTGGGTTATAGACTTAGAAATGAGTACAAACAAAACTTCATGGGGAGGGGCAGCGTGGGGGAGTGCTGTCTCCGTTGAGTTGCTGTGCTCCTAGATGTGCATCTGTGGATGAAACTGCCAGCGCCCTTTTTTGTAGAGGGTTCTCTACCTGACCTTAAGGTTTCACACGGATGTGCTGTTCTGTGTGAGTCAAACAGCCACTGAGCTCCCTGAAGGAGCAGAACTCTCTCTGCAAAGAGAAACTTGCTTTGCACTGGACACACCTTGCAATCAACTCACTGTCACGGGGGTAAGAATATTTCCCACTTTTGTTGGTTCTTTGTTGCTGGGGAAAGCATTTAGGGGCTCTGGGGTTTTTTTGTTTGTTTGTTTTTGATTTTTTACTTTATGGTTTGTATTTATAATAATTTCTTTCTGAAGCTATTTGCCAAGAGTTAGTAGATCCCAAAGCTTTGTTAATAGCACAGGATATTTTTATATATACATATATATTCCTCCATGATTTGTAATATTTTTATAAATGTCCTATGCTGTGTTTGGTCCCTGGTTTGAGTACTTGTCTTGCTACATCTCTGTTCAAAGAGACACTTGCTGAGAGATGTTTGGCCATGACTTGTTGAGTTGGTGCTTTGTTTTTGCAATAAAACACTGCTTCAGATCACCAAGAATGTCTTCTGTTTCTGCTCATTTGATCGCTTCCTTTATGGTTAAAGATTAACTCGAAAACCCAGGGAGAAATTTAAGCTTTAAGAAAAAAATTTCAGAGTGAATGAGATGGCTTAGTGGGCAAAGGTTCTTGCCACCAAGCCTGAGGATTTGAGTTCAAGCCCTGGGTGTACACACGGACACACATCTGCGTGTGTGCACCCGCGCACACATTTGGTGGACACGCACACACAAACACACACACACACAAATAATACATTTAAAATTTTCAATAAAATAAAACTAAACTATGTAGACCTATATATAAATTGAATCTTACATAAGCTAACAGATCTCATTCCTTCTTATAGTCCACCCAGTAATCAATGTTAGGTGGTATTTTAACCAAGGATTTTTTACCTGCCAATCAGAGCCATGATTTAACATAAAGCTGAGCAGAGAGAGTCCATGGGGCCTCTGAGTTTGCCTCTCCTCCCTCTTGTAAAGACTGCCCTATTGCTCTACAGGGACCATTTCTCTGAAGAACATAAAATCTAATTATTTATTTCAAATATTATATTTTATTTGTATGAGTGTTTTGTCTATATGTATGCCTGGGTATTGTGTTCCCACAGAAGCCAAAAGAGGGCATCGAATCACCTGGAAATGAAGTTACAGATTATTGTGAGCTGCCATCAAACCCCGGTCCTCTGGAAGAGCAGCCTGTGATCTTACCTGCTGAGCCGTCTCTCCAGCCCTAAGAATGTGAAATCTAAAGATGAGAGTGAAAAGACCTAGGAAATGGCATAGTTCAAGATTCAAAGATGTGTCCCAGGCCGGAGATATAGCTCAGCTGGTGGGGTGCCTGCCTGGTACACACTGGTCCTGAATTTGACTCCAAGAATCACACCCTCAGGGCATGGTAGTACATATTTGTCATCCTAGCGCTTGGAAGTAGAGGCAGGTAGATCAGGAGTTAAAGCCAGGCTGGCCTATATAGTGAGTTCGAGGCTAGTTTGGGTTATAGGACGCCCTATCTTGTAAACAAAACTGTATTTTAAATAACTTCAGTTAACGAGTGTATGGGGTGTCTATACTTAAAATGTTTTGCTTTGCACCACAAATAGGATGGAAGAAGAGGATGGAAGAGAACTTGACTGAAGCTGTCATAAAGGGATAGCTCGGGGAATGCCCACACCTCACCTGCTTCAACACCTCTGTGTGAACTGGACACAGGTCCCTTGGGAGTGCCTGGGACTGCCACCTCACCCTCATTGCTGGTAGTGTAACGAGGTGTAAGCCTATGTTGTCCCTGCCTAAATGTCCAGAGAAGGGGGACAGAGATGATGCCCCATCATTGTACAGCGTAAAATGGTTGGCTTAGATATTGCTGTCGCCACAGGAAGTCCAACCAGCAGGGGGGAGGAGGAAGCAAAGGAGTAGAACTTCCTTCTAATTTTAGGACAGTGGTTCTCAACCTTCCTGACGCTATGACCCTTTAATACAGTTCCTCATGCTGTGGTGACCCCGTCCATAAAATCATTTCATGGCTGCTTCCTAACTGTCATCTTGTTGGTTATGAATCCTAATGTCCATATCTGATATGCGACCCACAGGCTGAGGACTTGTGTTTGAGTGCATTTCTTTTTTTTTTATGAATTCGTTTTACTTTATTCTTTTTTATAGATTCATTTTTTTCTTGTTTTTCCCTCAATATACGTTTTTATTTAAATTAGAAACATGAATGTTTCACATGTCAGTTCCAGCTCCCTCTCCCACCCCTCCTCCATTGTCCCTCGATCAGCCCCCGCAACCCCCAACCCAATCCCCATATCATTCCCCAGGGAGGGTGAGGCCCTCCTTGGGAGGATCTCCAAAGTCTGTCATGTCATCCAGGGCAGGACCTAGGCCCTTCCCCATGTGTCCAGGCTGAGAGAGCATCCCTCTATATGGAATGGGCTCCCAAAGACCATTCATAAACCATGATAAACACTGATCTACTACCCAAGGCCCCAGTGATTTCTGTGGCCTCCTCACTGGCACTACATTCATGGAGTCTGGATCAGTCCCTGTTGGCCTCTCAGCCATCAGTCTGGGATTCAAGAGCTCCCCCTTGTCCGGTCAGCTGTCTTTGTGGGTTCACCATCATGGTCTTGACCTCTTTCCTCATCACTCCTCCATCTCTGTCACTAGGTTCCAGGAGTGCAGTTCAGTGTTTAGCTAAGGGTGTCTCTGCTTCCATCAGTCACTAGATGAGTGTTCTAGTGGCATATAAGGTAGTCATCAACCTTATCATCAAGAAGGGGCTATTAATGTAGTCTCTCCACTATTGCTTAGTTTGCCAGTTGGTGTTATCCTTGTAGATCTCTGGAGATCTCACTAGTGTCAACTCTCTCCTCAAGCCTACAATGACTCCATCTCTTATGGTATCTCTCATCCTGCCCTCCTCTATTCTTACTTCGACTCAACCTTCCTACTCCCCCATGCCTTCTTCTCCCCTCGTCTTATCCCCCTCTCTTTTTCCTGGTTCCCTCTCCCCTCCCCCGATGTTCCCAATCTGCTCAGGAGATCTTGTCTTATTCCACTCCTCTGGGGTATCATGCATCTCTCTTAGGGTCCTCCTTGTTTTCCAGGCTCTCTGGCACTGGGATTGTAGGCTGATACTCCCCTGATCCATATTTAAAATCCATATATGAGTGAGTACATACCATGTTTGTCTTTTTGTGTCTGGGTTACTTGAGCACATTTCTTTTTTTGTCTTTTTGTTTTGTTTTGTTTTTGTTTTTCGAGACAGGGTTTCTCTGTGGCTTTGGAGGCTACTTGAGCGCATTTCTTATTCCTCATCTTGCATCTTGCTGACCAGAACCCAGTCTTGTTGCCATTCAGAAGCTGCAAAGGACACTAGAAATATTTTCCTGTGAACCCCTGAGCCTAGCTAAGAGCCCACGCTTCATTACCAACCCAGCTTGTGTGAGCAGTAAGATCTGACCCCAGTGGTCACTGTATAATGAACCGTACCCTAGCCCTATACATAGGCAAATTGTAATCTAAACCAAAGGAAACCAATGTAACTAAGCAACTGAGTCTCAGCCAATCCCAAACTGAAGGTCAGACCCCTAACAAAGCATCTCACCTAACTGGAGCAGCTGGGTAATTTCTTTATGTGATTTCCTTTCTGGTTATGAAAATGGCTCCTCATCATAAGAAGGCATCCTACGGCATCCTCGGGCTGCATGGATGCCCATCTCTAGAACCCGTTTCTTGCTCAAGCTTTCTTTCATTGCAGGGTTTGTTTTCCTTTAATACATATGAGTAATGGGGGATATCTGGTAATAACTTGTTGTTACTGCTGGTAGTAGGTCAGGAAACACTCGGAGCAAATGATGCAATCTAAGGCTCTTTAACTCCGCTTTTCTCCAGGTTGAACTTGGCAAAATCCTAACTCAGCCTCAGCACAGAATTTCTCTGTGTGTATTGAGAGCAGGGAGATTGTTGAAAAACAAATGGAAAAAATACAAAAAAGCATCCCTCAGCTGTTAACACCTTTCACCCAGAATCAGGAAGTTAAAGCTCGCCTGCTCCTCACACGGAAGGAAGGAAGGAAGGAAGGAAGGAAGGAAGGAAGGAAGGAAGGAAGGAAGGAAGGGCCCATAGCTGGATGAGTGAGGGGCCCATAGCATGCTCTTCCCACACACAGAAGGAAGGAAGGGCCCATAGCTGGATGAGTGAGGGGCCCATAGCATGCTCTTCCCACACACAGAAGGAAGGAAGGGCCCATAGCTGGATGAGTGAGGGGCCCATAGCATGCTCTTCCCACACACAGAAGGAAGGAAGGGCCCATAGCTGGATGAGTGAGCACTGTAGCAGTAAGTAGCTGAAGGCGCTCGGCCCTCTCCATCCAGGGACGGTCACTTGTGCTGAAATGGCCACCGGGTTAGCAGACATCCCCCAGGAGGAGCTTTTGTTCCTCACACTGAATTTCCATGTGTGTGGCCTTGGTCTGCAACTGGCACAAATGCACTTGCCAAATGGGAACAAGCACCTGTATCATCAGGAAAGCAGATGCCAATATATTTATGATTAAAACATGTATGAGAGCTGATGGTGTTTATTTTAGCCACACAGGCAGACAGGATGCCAGAATAAGGGGACTTCGAGGAAGACCCTGCTGTTACTCCCCCGCATACGTCACATTTGAACGTTGAATTAGGCCCTACAAATTAGATGTAATGGGCTGACATAAAGTCTAGATCACAGGCTGGACACTGTTGGGCACTGTTCAGTGCAACCTAAGCTGATATACGCTTTCCCTTGGCCAGAGCATGCCTGGAGTGTGTGTGTGTGTGTGTGTGTGTGTGTGTGTGTGTGTGTTTAAGTGATATTGGGTTTCCCTTTACAGGGGACACTTCCAATGGGGCTGGAATTTTCCATGTGTTAATGCCTTCCAGTTTAGCTCGACGCTTTTGCAGTAATTGTCTGGATTCCAAAGGCATTTGAGTTTTACACACTAGCTCTGCCCCATGTTATTTGAATAACACAAGAAACAGAGCCTTTTTTTTTATTAAGTTAATTCAGGAGTTAGATACAGCAAGCCAATTTAATTGAAAAGAACCAAGCTGACGGATTGCACCAGCCCATGCAGCAGGCATGAGCACTATTTTAAAAGAAATTTTAATTAAAATATAATTACATAGTTTCCCCCTTTCCTTTTCCTCCTTCAGCCCCTCAGGAGAATCATTTTTTTTGGTGGATTGTTAATGGGCATGGGTGTGGAGAAAGAGGTCAATTACTGGCCCAGTCTTCATTGTATTTTTAACGAACACCCTCCATGAATATAGAATTTATTCTGTCATTGGAGTGTAGTGTGTGTTGTCAGGAACACAAATCATCTCTTGACTGCATTAGTGAACTATATCTCTGGAGGAATTTATTTGCAAGGTCTAACAAACCACAGTTGCCCAACCACTTCCAGAAGCCAAAGGAGAAAAGCGCTCAGGGGTGGTGGTTCACAGTCCTTGCA